GCTAAAGGCCTGACAGTGAAAGGGAGGACATTACTCATTGTCTTCACCCAAAACATAGGTCATGTATGAAATGGGTTCAAAAGTCTAAAACTGACAAGGCTCAATTTTGCCCTCGGATGCATCCCAGCAACCTCTGTGATTTAGTTCACATGATATGAAAGATATTTCTGGTGACTCTATAAGAAAACAAGTGCATCTCAAAGGACTGTGTCCTTGCTTAAGAGAAGCCTAAACCCAGCTGAAATTCCCTGTAGAAGAATCCTCATCATGAACAATATCTGACTTAATGCCTAAGCGACCTAATTCTTGCTTATGGAACCAAAGATCCTGGGTTCAAAACCCCTCAGGAAGCCCTTATTGCAGATCTGAAAACTTTAGTATCCCTAAATTAGGAGTCACGGGGTGAAATTTTATGGCCTGAGTTATACTGGTGATCAGAGTAGATGATCAGAACAGTCCTTTTCCAATTAAACCCTGTTCAGTTAGAAAATTCCTGTTCAGTTCTATTACTAGGTGACATTTTTAGGAAGGATGTTGCTGAACTTTTTATGCTAAGTTTCATTATGCACCCAAAGCTAGTGTGTGATTGATGGAAACAGAAAGGCTGGTGACAGCCAATGCCTCCGCACCTCATATAAATGCATAAATAATCCATTATGTGAGAACTTGTTAGCTGCAGGAGAGACAAAAATTAAAAAACTACCCCACAAAAATGATCGGGTGGATCTTTGCATGGAAGCTCAGGCTCTCAGACCCTCCCCCTTGCGTGGTCTGAAAGCCTGGGCTCCAGCCCAATCCCTCCCTGTGATTTTTCTAGCCCCGGAGCCTTAGGGTGACCAGACAGCAAACATGAAAAATCGGGACAGGGGGTGGGAGGTAATAGGAGCCTATATAAGAAAAAGACCCAAAAATCGGGACTGTCCCTATAAAATGGGGACATCTGGTCACCCTACTGAATCCTGTGAGCCTGAGTCAGCTGACATGGGCCTGCCGTGGCTGTGCCAAGGCTCTTTTATTGCAGTGTAGACGTACCCATAGAGACTGATCTAGTCCTGGGTATAGAAAAAGTTAAAACCTATGCCTGAGTGAGGGGTTTACAACAAATGTGTCCTCTCATGGCAAGAATTACAGAGAAAACAAGAACTAAGCTGGGCTTAGATGGAAAATGATTGCTTCTCAGGAAAGAGGAAATTATCAGAAGCTTGAACTGCATAGGAAACTGGCCCCCTGTTACTTGTATTTATATTTATTTAGACTTATAATAAAAAGCAACTATGCTATCTTTCTAGGAGCATGCTGAAACAAATATTGTAAAGATAAACCAATGACAATTCTTGAATTCCCCTTGCCCATCGCCCGTCAGAATTAATACATCATCTCCCTCTTTGGATTTACTTACACCTTCCCTGATCGAGACAGGTGCATGAGAGAGAATTCACTTGCTCACAGGTGACCTGGCTTTTGCTTGTCTTGGGTGTTTGGTGAGTGCGGGTTAGCCACTTCCTGTCATGGATGGTCAGTAGGCTGATTAGAACTTTAAACAGACCATAAACAACTGATCTTTCTAAACATGAGACCATTGACTCAAGAGAGCAAAATATTTAATATAAAAAGTCTTTTATTTTGTGGAAGCTTTTCTGCTTCAGTCATTTCCCCATCGCAGCCCCAAATAATTCACTCCAATAAGACATTTGTTCTGGGTCAAGGCCTCCCTAGTAAAACTATTGTGATCTATTAAAAGAAAAAAAAACAATCCAGTGTGGAATCTGAGAGGGAGCTTTCTGAGCAAGACTTGACATATTTTCCCTGGTGTACTCTGTTTTATTAAACATTATACTATGGAACATATACTGTAAGTGCATATTTCCCCCCATCCCTGTTATATAGTCTTATCAACCAATGGGAGATTGTTCAAATCCTGTACTCATCAAAAGGAATTTTTATCATGCTGTGTAAGTTAATGAGACAGTGTTGCTGAACTTTGTTCCCTTATTAAGCTTAGCCCCTGGTACTTTTCTCTTTGCTTGGTATTTGCAGGTGGTAAATTGAGGCCCTGGTCCTGCAAACACTTACATATATGCTTAACTTTAAGCATGTGCATGAACAGTCCCATTAACACCATTTTACACCTCACTTATGATTTCAATGGGATAACTCATGTGCTTAAAGCTAAACATGTGCAAGAGTGTTTGCAGAATTGGGGCCCTGGTTGCAAAATAGAGAATGTTGGCTCCTCTTCATTGTGTAGCAAGCCTAGGTGACTAACTCAGCTTTGTGGATCACAGTGTAGTTCCTGTGATTTTTCTAAGTGCCTAAAAGTTAAGCTCTGTGACACTCAGCATTGCAATGCCTAAGTCCGTTCATGGATCCCACTTTATGTCCTCAATTAAGTGGAAAGATTATGAAGACAAGGCTGAATGAGGATCTGCAGGTGCAGACTCCTCCTATCTGAAGGTTCATGGAAATCCATGGAACATGACAAAGGCAGGGCCGTCCCTAGGGGTGTGCAGGGCCAGGACATGGACGCCGAGTTTCTATCTACCAGGGGGGTGCTCCCCCTGACTATGCCCAGGCCTTGCCCCTACTCCAGCCCTTCCCTCAAGGCCCACCCCAGCCCCACCTCTTCCCACCCCCACCCCTTCCTGCCCTCACCCTGCTTTTTCCCACCCTGCCCCACCTCTTCCCCACCCAGTTCTGCCCTCTCCCCCAAGTGCCCTTGCTCCTCTCCCCTCCCCCCCAGATGCTGTGAAACAACTGATCGGTGGTAGGCACTGGGAGGGAGAGGGGAGAGGGAGAGGGAGGGAGAGGCAGGAGGCACTGGGGGGAGGGGGTGGCTCCTCCTCACCCCCCCCACCTGCCCCCAGCCTCACCTCCCCACCCACCTTCTCACAAAGCACGGGACCCCCCAAAGCATGGGGCCTGGGCCCCGATTCGCCATACCCTAGGGATGGCTCTGGATACAGATAAAAAGGGCTGTATGTGCACAGGCCCTGAGGCCATGTCATCCCATCAGTTTTTAAGCAGATTTCCCCCTTAGCATTCATAAGGAGTTCTGCTTGAGTTAAAAAAGAGGGTATTACAATAGGGCCCCCATGATTCAAAAATGTCTTCTACAACTTTGGCTTCCAAAGCCTAGGGGGAAAGAACTCAACATACCCAGAAGTCTATCCAATTTGAAATGTACAACTTGAAAAGTTTGGGCATGGGTCTCAGAGCACTAAGTAATGTTCCAAATCGACGTGGAAGCCAAAAGCATACAAAGATAAATATCTAATGCCAGTAACGATCATGTTCCTCTAACTTAAAAGCTGCTAAAAGTTATTTTCTTGCTTTAAAAAAAATGCTTCCAGGAAGAAATGTTTTATAAACAGGTACATTCAGCCCAAACACAATTTATTTATGATCAGATTGTTAGTTTGTGATTAGGTCAACGTAGACACCATTTTGACTCCAGAAGTGTTGCTAGGATTGAGTGGCACTTATAGCAATACAATGTCTCTTCCATAATGCTTTTCAACACACTTTAACCTTCCAGTTCTGTATATCTGTCTATGCTGAGTTTTTCTTTTATTAAAATGTTTTTTATTTCTAACTCAAAAAGAAACAACATAGAATAACTTTGTGTGTGACACTCCTAGAAGTGAAAGGTAGTGCCACAAAGGAACTGCACCTGTCTCTTAAGGTAAATTGTATATTAAGTAATTATAAAAAATAACATGTATTAGGGACAAACAGATTCCCTATCCAGGAAGTTCATTAATATTTTGAATCAGGAAACAGAGCTATTTGTCGACCGGCTTAAGAACAACCATACTGGGTCAGACCAAAGATCCATCTAGCCCAGTATCCCGTCTTCCGACAGTGGCCAATGCCAGGTGCCCCAGAGGGAATGAACAGAACAGGTAATCATCAAGTGATCCATTCCCTGTTGCCCTTTCTCAGCTTCTGGCAAACAGAGGCTAGGGACACCATCCCTGCCCATCCTGGCTAATAGCCATTGATGGACCTGTCCTCCATGAATTTATCTAGTGCTTTTTAATCATGAACACCTGATCACTGGAGAGAGAGGGAAAGAGACTTTTTAAACTGCAGATCATGGACCACAAAAAGTCTGCAGAGCCTTTCTTCCTGATGTGTGAAAGGGAGCATTTTTAAAACCACCTATTTTGATGTAGGATAATTTTGGAATAGAGGTGGGCCATACGGCTTTCTTGTGTGAAGTAGCCTGCAGAACGAAAGAGCTAGAGGTCCTCTACAGGTAAACTGTGTATTTTAATCTTGCAGGGCACACAGATACTCTGGTAAGGGAAGCTACAGAGAGATCAACGTAGACACCATTTCAACGATAAAGTCCCACTTGCAAATTGATAGGGGACTTCTATCTATAGCAAGGGTGGGTTCAAAGAAAAAGGCCAAAGGGGCAAATGAGCACAGAGGAGTGAGGGAAGAGTCAATAGTAGCACTAAGAAGGGTGTGGGGGAGCAGAGGTGAATAGCTTTGGTTTCCCCAATACTACACTGATGCACACCTGTCTTTCACTCACCTTTCTTTCCTGTTATGTCCTTTTCTTTCCTATTCACCCACAAAAGCTTATACTCCAGTACATCTGTTAGTCTATAAGGTGCCACAGGACTCTTTGTTGCTTTTCTTTCCTATTACCTTTGGCCCCTTCCTGCCTCTCCCCTACCAATCTCCCGCCTCAAATTCCCCTATCTGTATGGCACAGGAAGGAGTTCTGTGACTGTGAGAGGCACCCCTAGAGCTCTGAGCCCCCATCCACCTGCCCCTCAGCGCACTCTAGGTCTCTTCTTTCTCTCCAGTGGTGATTGCGCAAGGAAAGGGGGCTAGTGAAGAGAAGGGCCGAGGAAGCAGCTCTACCAGCGTCCAATACTCCCACCGCCAGGGGAGTCAGGAGTGGGATCGGCGATATCGCAGGACAGTGGCAGCTGAAGCAGAAACCTCGCCCCAGGGTGTGAGCGAGCGAGCGACTTCCACGAGCCCTGCCACAGAGCTGCCTCAAGGCCCTTCCCACTCACAGCAGGCCGGGAGAATCCGCCTCTCCTGCTCGGGCTGCTCCTGTCCTGAAGCGGAAACCTGAACGTGCAGCACTTTTCCCAGGTCTTCCCTGCACTCCGGGCTACCAGACACACGAGAAGAGAATCAACCCCCCAGCTGTTCGCAACAGCTGTGTGTCCGCTCCAGCTGCCAAGCGGGCCAATAGGCGAAGAAGGGCCCGCCCCATCCCCGCCCCTGGTGACGGAGGCGGAGGATCCCAGGGTGCCCCGGCTTTTAGGGGAAAGCAAACAGGGAAAAGCCATTCCGTTGTTAGCGTCCGGGCCCTGCATTTCTCTCCAGTAGCTGCTGCCTCCGCTAGACTGGACGCGCTCCATCCTCCTTGTCTAACATCTACCTCAAAACTGCTGGAGGTTGCGGGGCTCCCTCCCTTAAAGTAGGAGGAGGAGGCAGCGGCGGATTGGTTTGCAAAAGGCAACGCAGTGTAGTTGCAAAAGGGATTTGACTCCGGAATAAGATCCCCTCCCACCACGTGTAAACGCACCCAGGCGCACACTACTCTCCCCGTTTGTTTGCCTAGGGCTGTCCGGCTGGCAGGGCCAGCGAACGACGCGGAAGATGCACACGACCCAGAAGGACACCACTTACACCAAGATCTTTGTCGGGGGCCTGCCTTATCATACCACCGACTCCAGCCTGCGCAAGTACTTCGAGGTGTTCGGGGAGATCGAGGAAGCCGTGGTCATCACCGACAGGCAGACCGGCAAGTCCCGGGGATACGGATTTGTAAGTCGTGGGGATGTTTCTTTGGGGGGTCGTTTTTGCCACTGCTGCTCCTGCAACCAGCGGGTGGAAACTTGCTGCTGGGTGGCACCGGGGCTACTTTGCATCGTTTTTAGCTTCGGTCCGCTTTGTGGGTGGGAGGGATCCGACCGCTTTCTGGGGAAACTAAAACAAGCTGAGAAGCCAGCATTGTATCGCCTGTGGGGGTGGGAAGACAGGTGAAGCCGGATAAGCGCCTGAAGCCGGAAAGAAACTTCTTGTGAGGCAAAGGCCAGCATGCTGCTGCACCGTAGATCCAGAGCAGCCCTAGATAAAGGGTTTGTTTGATTGGGGGGAAAGGGTACTGTGTTTTGAGGAGTTATTTAATTTTTTGAGGGAGGGGGAAAGGATGGGGAATCCCTGGTGGAGGGGATTTGGATCGTGGTTTGCACGTGAAAAGTTAGTGCAGATTTCTGGCAACAAATTAGGCTAGCTGGTTGTTTACTGATATGACTTAGAAGTTTTATCTGTGGTAGTACACGGGGCTCCTATACATGTACACACCCCTAATATTGTACTGCAGCAAACTAGAAGCTTAAAACAACCTGATTTCAGTGTCTGTTTACCAATTAAGCACAGAACAAAGGAAAGGAAGGGTATTTTTTGTACTTCAATGAGTTTTAAGCTAAAGAACTAAGGTCCCTTTATTTCTGAATGAGAGCATCCACGAAGGGATTTAACGTGCTTTAACTAATGCATTTTAACTTCTCGGGCCTTTCGTTAATTCATGTTAAAGTTCCCCAGTCTCTTCATGTAAACAAATCCGATTTATCTTAATTATTCAAGCAAGCCCATTAGTTTTGACCAAAAACATCTAGGGAGATGAAGCTTCATATTTTTCATACTGTCCTTTTTTGTGGAGGGGAAGCTGGTTGTCTTAGTGAAAAGGTGAATTCTGCTTCTTTTTCAATGGCAAAAGTGGTTTAATTCATAGCATTGTATATTGTTAAGGTCACCATGGCTGATAGAGCAGCTGCTGAAAGGGCTTGCAAAGATCCCAATCCTATCATTGATGGCAGGAAGGCCAATGTGAACCTGGCATACCTGGGAGCAAAACCAAGGATAATGCAACCAGGTGAGGAAAGTATCTTTCTCTCTTTTTCTCCCTCCTCTGACCTTCAACAAAGTTTCTGAGAAGAACAAAACTTCAGTTTGAGTTAAAATTAAAAAAAAAAAAAAAGGCTCTCTCAAGCAATGCCACCACTTTCCGTGGAGTACAGTGTGTGTGTGTTTGTGTTTTAATGTTGTATGTAATCCATAATTTTTTGGCTATCTGTAAGAATGCTTTCATAAAAACTAAAGGTGTGCATGTGTACTGTACATAGAGGAATACATGTCCCCTTTGAGAAATTTCCTCCATACAAAATTTCCATTTTGTTGGACCCTATATTATGAATGAAATGACAAACCCAATTTACAGTATAATTGAGGTAAAAGATTATTGCTAGGATATAGAAGTTCCTGTATGTGCCCAGTCTTATTAACACAGTCGGTCTCTTAATGGGAACTTCTAAAACACATGGAATCTATTGCACTGAATGAAAAAAGGAATGGATTTATCATAAGGCCAGATCTGATCCAAAACTCACTCACTGATTTCATGCCCTGTTCAATACCACAGCTTCACAGCAAAATAAATGGGAATATAGTAGCGCGTTAATGTTCACACTTTAAACCCCTTACTGATGTTGGTGGGTTGTTAGTCACATGAGTAGACCCATTAACTTCAGTGGAAATACTCAGGTGACTAAATACTCACATTGGTGGGTACTTAGTCACCTATGTGAGAACTTAGTCACCTGAGTATTCCAACTGAAGTTAATGGGCCTACTCACATGACTAAGGGGCCTGCAATCAGGCCCAATATGAATATTTCAGGAAGTAAGAGGTCAGTGTATATTACAGTATGAGTTATTCTACCCTTATGTTTGCATGCATGGCTCCCAGTTAAGTCTGTAGAAACACATATATTCATCCAGTTACAATCCAATTTATAATTCTTAGGCTTTAGAGTTAAGGACTAGA